CCCCCCAGCCTCTGGACGCGGCAGCAAATTTCCCCGTCTGAGCTGTGCCTTGGCTTCCTGCCCCCTTCTGCCTGCCCCCCCCCGGGGGATGCCCGTGCCCGCCATGGGGCAGGAGCCTTGCTGAAGATCTGGGCTGAGCATCCCCCCTGCCGGCCCCCTCTTCCCTTACCGAGTTCAGGCGTCTTCGTGTTCTGCAGGATGAAGTTCACGAGCCGTATCCTGAGCAAGGAGAAACTGTGGTTAAAGGCTGCCCGGGGGGATAACAGCTTTGGGGTGCGTGGCCCTGGAAAACAGGGGAGGGAAGGAAGAAGGTGTGCACCAAAATCCGGGAAAGGAAGGCGGGAAGAAACGGGGAGCTGGCTGCAGGAGACTTGGCACGGGTAAGTGGAGGTGGCCGTGGGTGGCAAATGAAAAGCCTGGCACAACCATGAGCCAAGCTGGAAAATGGATGCTGGTGCGGAGAACGGGGAGTGCAAGGCGCTGGAAGTCAATAGCCCGGCTCAGCACCCACCTGGTGGTCACTGGGATGTCATGGTGGGCATCGGGGGTTTGCCGCCCGCTGTCGGGGCTCCTCAGGAGCTGCTGGTATTGCTGGAAGATCTGTTTGGGGGCACGGACTCCATAAAATAGCTTCTTGTCCTCAATTTTCTAGCGGGTGGAAGACAAGGGCTGTCAGCGCTGGCAGAGCCGAGGGGCTGGGAAAGGGGCAGGGCCACCAGGGCCAGGGGCCAGGCGAGTCCTAGGGCTGGGGTCTCCCCTGGCTGCGCAAATGGTCGATTTTCCAGCACTGGTAGGGTGATCAGCGCAGAGGTTCAGGTCTTTCCCATCTCCTGGGATGCAGGCGCCCAAACCGGGCTTGGATCCTGGGTACCACCAGGCAGCCGGGTACCTGCTGCCGCCTTTTCCTCCTGCAGCCCCTCACCTTGATGGTGAACCCCTTCTTGCTCAGCTCATCCAGGAACTTCTTCCTCTTGATCTCCTTTTCGCTGCCCGCTTCGTGGATGTCGCTTACCAGGACGAAATCCCACTTCTCTTCCCCCTGCTCCCAGGGAACACCAGGGAATTTATGGGGGTGGCAAGCCGGGAGGGCTCCCTTCCGGCTCCAGCCTCTCCGAAGCA